ATTCTGTTTATAAATCTCGATGACTGTTGTCTCAGCTCTCACAGGGAGCCTTAAATGGATGGAGTCCATCACTCAGTAGACCTGTGACCGAGAAGAAGCTGCAGAATGCTATACCTATAGTTCAAGCCATTACTTTTGCTTCTTTAAGGAGTAATAGTAAATGTACAGAGAGAAAATAAGATGGAACAACTAATCTGGTTTGCTTACATTTTTTATAGCTTAAACATCACGATAGCGCCATACTTTACCTTCATCTACTCTTTTTTTTCACTGGACATTAAATGAAGTCTGGTGACTACTTTTGTTCCGATACCACTGATTCATCACATGTACACGTGATCCATCACTGTGGTGAAATACCATTTGGACTGATGTAGTATGCCAATATATCTGCTGACCTTTAGATACTTTTAACCCTTTGGATGTCAAAGAACTGGCATGAATATGGTCTGATCACAGAGCTGCTGTGTGCTTTAGACTAGGCTCTGTATGTGTCCAGCTGCTGCTGATCAAACCAACCTCAGTGCAGATGTGTGTTCCCTCACACACGCTGACTGACTGAGGTCTTCCTCGTCCCAACATTGATGAATCAACACATCAGCTGCTTGGGCTGAGCGATGTAAACAATAGAAGCACTGACTGCCATAGATGAAAACCTTCAGTACACTGTTGAAGTGACATTGATGGATAGAATAGTATCAACCAAGATCTACACACTGAGCTGCTTCTACATGATGTGGTGGTCATCCCAACATAGGCACAGTGGGGTGGGGGGGTGTTAGATCAAGACACTACATGATGTTGCTTTGGTAAGTCAGATAGGACTTTTCATGTCAGCAGCTCAGCAGTGTGTCATGTAGAGAGCTGCTGTGGTTGGAGTGGAAGCAGTAGTTCAGGTGTAGCTTCTGCAACGGGGCGTGTTTGGCTGAGACAGGTTACCTGGCCGGGGTTCAGTTACCAGAAGGATTTCAACCTGATGCTTTAGAGAGATATAATGTATTTAAACTTAGAGGTGCAATGGATCACTGAACTCGGGTTCAGATTGGATCAGAGATCAGATCAGCACAAAAGATAAAAGGGAGCAAATATAGCTTTGCCGCTGATACCAATTGATGATCCATATTGTCAGATACAGATCTCTTTGTTTGATTATAGCAGCTGGTCTACAAGGATCCAGACTATTTATTATTTACCACGTCTACAAAATCATTTAACCACTCTGAAGTCAGTAAACCATCAAATTCTAAATGTTATCCTTTTACTTTGTTATAGCCATCTATCGTGTTTTTTTTCTTCATAAACACAATTCATATGATAAGAAAATAAGATTGTAATTTTATGGATTAAGACAAATCATGTCATTAGTAGTTTTAATGATGTATTATAATCTGATTAGAGCTAGTGTTAACAGGTGAAGAAAATCAAATCAATATTGTAGGTGCTGTCACCAAGGTTTTGGATAAATAATCATCAATAATGTGGATATAATGCTTTACTGTCATGCAGCCTTTAACAGCATACAAAGACAACACTTACATTACGATATCTAAGACCAAATCTGGTCTCTTATCACGGTATCAATATGTCCTCAATGAGCTAATGTGGTTCTATATGATTTGAGGACTAGCAGGCTCATATCAATAATTGTCACGGGGCATGATGGAGGACTCAAACGCAGACCAGACCAGAAGTAGAGTGAAGTGGAATTTAATAAAAACTTAAATCAGAACAGGAAACTTACAGGAACACACGGACGAGACAAGAGACGAAGGGAGAAATCCAGCAGGACGAGGCAGGGCAGGCAGACGGGGAAACCGGGAACAGGACAAGCCAAACGGGCAGGTAGACATGACAATGATCTGGCAGTGAGTGACTGAGAGGCAGGGGTTTAAATAGTGGCTTGAACAGGTGAGGGGAGTTGTGCTGATGAGGGAGTGCTTGATTAGTGATCAGAGGCAGGTGAAGGGAGTTAGGCTGGTGCTGAGGGAGTGGCTGACAGGTAGAGTGAGGAGGGTGTGGAGCTACACAAAGACACACAGAACACAGAAGGCAAAGCCTGATCGTGACAATAATACTGTAACATTTTACAGGAAGAGAGTGGAGATGGATTTAGATATCATAAGACCAAGAAGGAGAACCTACTGAAACAGAAACAGGAAGAATGTATTTTTTCTTTTACTGTACCCCCCCCTTTTTTTTTTTTTGCCAAACAAAAGACATGAGGGATTGTACCAGACCCTAGACCCTGTCTGTCAACATTTCATACTGGGAGTTTGATAGGAGTATAATTGACTGTCAGCAGGGTAAACACAGCTGCATCCAATAATATGAACAGATCTCTCAGTGGTACTGAGCTCTGTAACAAGCTTTACTGTCACTACATATCCCAGCTCTGCACAACAACACACCTAACATGTTCTGAAGCGGAGGACTCCCCTGATCCAGGTTGATGTGCTGGTGTGGCTCCTGGTGCAGGGTGTGACCGTGAGTCTGTACTGCAGCAGTGCAGGCAGCAGGGCTGGTGGGGCCACCATCACACCGGATGTTTGAGACGGTAGCGCTGTGAGTACTCGGCTGCTCCATGACCTCGTGGTCAACTGCTCTTTACCACAGCTTGCCGTACTTCTGCTAAACAGCCTTACTGTCAGCTCTTCTGTACTTTCAGTGAAAGGAGAAGTGAGGGCTTCTTCTATCTTTTAGTCAGGCTGTGCCGAAGAGATGGAATCTTTGAAGCTTCATTCAACGTTCACATTCAACACTGGTTTCTTTTTTTGCATGTCTATTCATTGTGTATTTCTGCTCAGTTTGAGATAGAAAATCAGGCTACACTAATATTAGTATTACACTGTTAGTAGAATTCCATTTCTGCGTAGGATAGTTTCCGACTCGTGTCTGAACGCTAATGGAGGCAGCATCTGTATTAACAAGGCGGTCCAGCAGCAATCTCACAGCGCCATAAATTACATTAATATCACCACAATAACACAATCACATTTTCTTTCTCCCATTTTTTGAGTGATGATGTCATAAAATATGACGACAGACATTTAAAGCTTCAATGGAAAACCTCAATAGAAGCTTTGAATGTAAAATAACGGCATTCTGTACTTAGGGTGGGCAACAGATCTCCTGAAGATACAAAACCAAAGACAGCTGTGGTCTGTGTATTTACAGTCTGACTTATGTTACTACTCCGTATTAATACAGTTTACATCACAGTCTTCTGTGATGCAAAAACAACAAGTAACACGTTTCTGCCATGTCATCCGACCACTCAAAGCTCTTTAACACTACATGTCATCATTCACCATTCACACACATTCATACACTGATGACAGGAGCTACCATGCAAGGTGTCACCTGCCCATCAGGACTAACTAACATTGATACACCGCCGGCACAGCCTAAAGTAATTTGGAGTTAAGTGTCTTGCTCATGGACACATGGACATGGACTACCAGAGCCGGGGTTTGAATCACCGATCCTCAGATTGAAGGAACCGCTCTACCACTCTGCCCCTGCTGTGGGGCAGAGTGGTAGACTTGCATGTAGATGCCATAAACATCATATGAAGTAAAGTGCATTCAGTAAAGTTGTTAGCCACTATAGCTGGGTCCTTCCCTTTCATGTCTCATTCCTCCAGGTTCACTTTTCATAACTCTGTGATGTTACTGTCTGTACGCTCTCCTGCTGTGGTGTCGTCAGTGACACACACAGGGATTCAAGGACATTTTAACACCGTATAACTACTTCAATCAAATAATGAATGTCCTGATTTAAAACTATAAAGTTGATGAGCTTAAATGATAGATGTAACATGAATAAAGTAGAATTGGGAGAAGGTGACAGAAAGTGAGGTGAATCTGCCAGTGAGAAGACATGTCTCTCCTAGGGCTGTGTAAAAATATCAATATAGTTTACAATCGCAATATTTTTTTAAACGATAGCGTAGTGCTGGGCGGTATGACCAAAAATTTGTGTCAAAGCCAGCAAACATCCTATAGTCAGTAATTTTAGTGCACCCATATGCTGAAATTCAAGTAAACGCATTTAAACGGCACAGATCGGGAGCGAGCGAAGGATTTTGAAAGTTAGCGGAAAGATTAACGTGAGACAACATCCGGTTTCTTCAGACGAACATCCGGTTTTCAGAATAAGATGCCAACAAAGTATGAATTATATTCACATTAAGTATAAAACATGCTACCTGCATCTCGTGAACCAAATGTTATTGCCCTTTTGTTCATATAGCAGTACTTTTAAAATAAAAGTGCGCAATACACTACTTTTGAATTCATTGTTGAACTTTGCCATAACAATGCGATTAATCGCGATTAATCGCAAAAAATCCATGCAATTAATCGCGATTAAATATTTTAATCGTTGCCCAGCACTAATATAAAGGCTTTGCTTATTATAGGGTGTGCTCGTTTGTTCCTATAATGTTGGGACAGCAGTTTGGCTGAAGTATTGTCGCCCCGGTAAGACGTACCTTGGATCCAGTGTTTTAAGCAGACTACAACTGTTTCATGTCACATTCGTATTTAATATATGAAATATACGTACAGATCAGACTCCATGTCGGCAGTTATCCAGTACTGCCAGTGTGCCTCTCTCTCACACAGCTTCCGTGTGTCACTAGTGTGATCAGCTGTTTACCAACCAAATTTACTTCTGCTGGTTGAAACCTGCAAACATACAACATTAGTAGTGCAACGGATCACAGATCGGATCAGCACAAGAGAAAAAAATATAACTTTCAGAGATTCCTGATCATGTTTATTTTGCCGCTGACACTATTTGCAGATCATTGATCCATAATGGTAGATACAGATCTCTATGTTGTTTGATCATAGCAGCTGGTCTACAAGGATCCAGACTTTTTTGCCACCGTCCCAAAAATCATTTCAACCACTCTGAAGTCTGTAAACCATCAAAACTCTAAATGTTATCCTTTTACTTTGTAAAAGTAATTTATAGTGTTTGTTTGTCTTCATAAAAACACACAATTCAAGTGATGACAAAACAAAAGTTTGTATTTTTATGGATTCAAACCAATCTTGTCATTAATATTTTTAAGATGTATTATAAGATGCTTAGATCTAATGTAAACGGGTCATAATTCATCTCTAATATCTATTTATGTTGTTGTGAAAACATCTTCAAACACTACATTTTACAAGATTACATGTGAACACATCATGATAACGTCATCATTTACCTTCACCTAATATTCATTTTCACTGAAGAGAGGCTGAACGCATCACAATGTAACTGAATGGAACCTCGGTCTGTTGGCTGTTAGCGGTGCTGACCCCGTCCTGTCAATTTAAACCTTCTTACATAGTCTATGATTTAAACACTGATAATGTTACATTGTGAATGGCGATTCTAAAAACATAAATGATGTCCTGATCTCATATTTTACTGACTTTTGGTGGATAAAGATGGTCAGTAAAGCTGTAATGGATAACGTTAACTGTGTAATTAATCCGTTCACATGTGTGCTGAACCGTGAGAAGGGATCCGTATGGATCACAGATCGACAATTACACTGTTACACCACTGCTATTGATTATTTTCATTATCAATTCATTTGTTGATTATTTTCTCCCATTTTTGTGAAGCCAAAGAGAATGCCAACGGATTGGTCGGGTTGTCCGATAAGCTGCAGGAAGCGGTGGATAGACCGGATCACATGCTCTACTGATGAGCGGGAGAGTGGCTGTGAAAGTAGAATGTGTTGTTCTGGCATATTAAGATAAGAGGTTATTGTAATATTCCTCTGCGCTCTACAACAGAGCAAGGACTGACTGGAGGACAGGAGATAGAGTATCTGGCTGCTGACAGGACAGGATGACAGTTGACTGCCATCACTTTGCAGTGTTAGTCTGGACCGGACTGACAGAAAGTGAAGTCAGCTAAGAAAGGTCTAGTGTGGCTGATGTAGCTGCTAGGAGCCAATGTTTGCTGCTTGAACAGCTAGAACAGCACAGGTACACTCACTAATGTTAGTCAGCATGCAGTGCACTCACTGAGGTCCTGCAGAGGTCTGGTACCGGGTCTAGAAACACGAGCAGTGAGACACGAAGAAGTGTGAAAATGAGAGTGATGCTTCAGGGTGTCTGTGAACCGGCATGTAGAACACCAGGACACCTCAATGGAATGCTCCATCATTGACCTTCTCAGGGCCACCTGCCTGTGTTTGTTCAGTCATTTAGTGTTCAAAAGGAGTAATCAGTTGTTTGGTCACATTAAGGAAAGTGTGGTTTCAAGGTGTGGTGATGTGTGTCACATTAATTGGATGCTCATTTCATCCAAACAACAGAGTTTTCTTCTTGTAACTGTGAAACAGAGTGTGTCGACCTCCGGGTCCTGACCCCCTGTGACCTCAGTATGCATACAGTGTTAACCACGATGAAGCTAAATAAGCATCACACACACACACACGTGAATTTTGGCTCGTATATGGTTTCACGTGTCAGCGTCAGCCTCAGAGGTGCAGAATCGGTGGACCTGTAGCGTAAAAACCTAGAAGTAATGAGGCATATTTGGAAGTATACTTCATTTGTTTGTTTGTTTAATCAAACTTCTATGGTTAACTTACTACTGTTACACAGCTGATAATATTTAGTAATGCAGCCTTACTAACCAGGAAAAGAGAACACTGATGCCATATTACAACATCCTCAATCTCAGAAGACATCAAGTCTCGTACCACCATGTGCATACCATATCAATATATGCCCTGTTTCTAGTGTTTCCCTGCCACGCTGAGTGTGATTGGCTGCTGTGGACTCTTCCTCATTGCTCAGTAATTACTGTTGTGTTTCAGCACTTCCTCTTTCAGTCAGGGTGGGGTGGGAAGCCTTCGCAGTACATTTTCTCTCTCCTGACTTCAGACTATTCAAACTGGAAGAGTGGAAGGGTGAAGTGGTTTTGGCTTTTTGGTCCTAAATGTTTTTTAATAATAAACATAGCGACCTGAATGAGCTTTGGATGAGTCGCTCTTATCTCTCCTTAAGCCAAACTAACGGTCCTTCCATTCACTGCAGACAGGATACTGTGCTCCCAGCTGAGTCATAGCTGGGAGCACACAGACAGCTCAAATGCCCTTTTATGGCATCGAAGGGCTTTTTAAAACAGGAAATGACATCAGTTCATCGAGAGGGGATCTCACAAGAGCCCTGTCATACCAGAGTGAAGGAAGGTCTCAGTTTGTTGTTTGGTGGATGACCACTAAACAAAGCTAGAAGCAGAGCTGGGCAGCAGTGAGTTGCTCCTGTTACAGCCACAGGCCTGAGCAGCAGGCATACATGTTGCAGCAGAGAAATCCAGAGTCAGCCTGTCACATATTTGTGAGAAGTGACGTCAGGTATTGTGGACTTGTAACACAGCAAAGAGTGCTTTCTGCAGAAAAGAATGGCAATTGGACAATTTGGGAGGATTTTTCAACTTTTTCACGATGAGTGACCTTTTTTTCTGAACTTTATTGAATTTCTAAACAGGTGATGGCAAAAGACAAATCAAGCTTCAATGCAAAGGCATGTTCACTAATTCATTTAGCAACAAAATGAATCTGTCATTACTTAAGTAATGACGAATCAAACTAAATCAAACTCTTGTCAAGAAAGTTAAGAAGTGCATTTTGAAAAAGTCTTGAACCAATCCTTTCAGGGATAGTGGAGATTCTTGCATTGCATTTCAAGATCTAAGTGTTCCCCTTGCATTTTGATAGGAAGAGTTACAATAAATTAGAATTAAAAGTTCATTGCTCTTTGAAAGGATGTACTTGTATCATTATGCTATTATATTATCATTATATCAGTGGCATAAAATGGTTTTAAAATTACAATAATGTTCATTCCAATTATTTCTGGGACAATATATGGTCAAACAGAAGTAGTGACAGGCCCAGGAGCAGTTCATTCTGTGAGGAAATGACACAATTGAAACTTCTTGCAAATAATATGGGGATTGGTTGAATTTGTTTAAAATCTTGTTGCTGGAGGGTCTGATTATTGTGTTTCGATTGGTCATGACAATGTAAGAGCATGTGTCATGATGAAAATGATTCTAACGTGGTTTGTTTCCTTTTCTTCAGCTAGAGACAAAACGCCACAGTTCATTGTCTGACGGGGCAGGAGGGCTGTCACTAAAACACCGTTTACATCAGGTATTTACTTCACTCACCTTCCTTCTAGTTTGAATAACTCCAGTGGAAAATACAGGGCTCTGCACTAACTTTTAAAACCACTGATGGCAACCAAAGGCCAAACAATTGGTTGCCAATTTGTCAAAATGCTTGCCGGCAAGCAGCATCAGCAGTTGATCTCAGAGGAATCCAATCCTTAAATTTTGGTTTTATTAACCAAATTACAAAGTAGGATCATATTACAATAAACATCTTTCACAGCAATGTGTACAAAAATGTACTTTTTTAGTCCAATATTACTTTCAGTAGTTTAACAAGATATTGTCTTCATGGATATCTTAAAAGTCCTCAGTGTGGCTCAGGTTGCTCAGCTCATTTTGACCTTGTTGAAGTCTGATAATGAGTTCACTTTATCGCCGTGGATCTTGTCAGTTTTCACGATCAGTTCTGGGGAGTAGAGTGCCCTCCATATTTTCCAGGAAACGGCAGTTTCCCTGCTTGTTTTCTAGTTACTGGTACTACAATACCCATCATTCATTTAGAGAGCTGTATCTTGATATCTGAACCCCTCCCAGCTACACACCCCAGCTACATCCGCCTGTCATCAAGGAGAATAAGGAGGAGCTGATAGTGGGACCGTGTCAGCAGGATGTGAAGGGGGGGAGGAGGGGGGTGTTGTGACATTCAACTCCTCTGAGCTCTGGTGCCAACACACGCCATGCCGTTAAGATGTCATCTCCACACAACTTTAAAAAAGACACACACTTTGTTTCCTTCTCCTGCTGAAAGTATCCTGATAATACTCAACCTCACTCATCAGGCCCTCCAAGTTTTTGTAATTGTTGCATCCGGAAATGACTCAATGAGCACCACTTTTTCTAAATAGTAGTAATGAAACGGGAGTCTTCCACTTTGCTCATTGTTTCTGTTTCCACAGCCCACAACCTGTTTACTGTTTACTGGATCAGTCTCAACACTCCTCATTTCCAGGAGCAAGAGACAGCTGTTTTCACACACACACACACACACACACACACACACACACACACACACACAC